ATATTAAAGAATAAAAAAAATCACTACAGTATCATCCTTCAAAGCAAACAAATTAAATGATGTCACTGCAATTACACAAACATATTGAACATGTTGAACTAGGTGTAATGAATATCAAATACTTCAACTTTCAGGTAGACTCATATACTTTGGTGTTGTATTTCCTATTCCTTACCCTGTATACACATGCTCCATAAATAACTGTGCATGGAACAAAGTGCATACAAGGAAAGAGTTCAGATATTTCCTGCCCTTTAACTTATATTCATTATCAACTGGCTCCTAGATTGAGAAAAGTATAATATTATGATGTTACATCCACCACCAAATACAAACATTTAAGCCAGAAAATAGTATATAAATTTACAATGATATACTGTAAATTCAGAAATTATTGCGTGCATTTATTATTACGATTTTGTCATTTTAGAATAAAATGCGATTTTAATTTTTGCGATATTGAGAAAAATCCTGTTTAATTCATATAAAAAATTTCAAAATGCGAGTTTAAATTATTGCGATTACAACCCTGTCGCATTTTTCGCAATAATAAAAACATCACAATAATTTCTGAATTTACAGTATATAATAGTTGTCATTGTATCTTACAAATGTGTTATAAACACTTCTAAGTTATAAAGGAAAAACATGTATATACATAGATATTTTGAGTTTAAAACAAAAAAGTTTCCAACAGCATTTATTTAGAAATTGTTTTAAATCAATTGATATTTCTAGAGTGTATATATATTTTGTTTGAAGAGTTAAACTAAACAACACTGATAAATATATAAAATAAAAGTAATAATATAGAAATATATATATATATAGGTGAGATAGTACCATGAGCGAGGATATAGGAAGTGAAAGTTGAATGATCAATATATATTAAAGCATGATTGTGAAGTGTAAAAGCACAAATTACCACATATAGCAATAGAAATATACTTACTTCAAGTCAACTAAAAAATGAGCAATTCAAATTTATATTTCAAATATTTCATATTGACTAACTCTCATTTATAAATTACATTAAAAACAACAATCAATTATTTATATGCTTTTCTATACTTGGTGAACTTTAGGAGTATCAACTTTAGGCAAGAATTACACTTTAACCTTACATTTAATTAAAGTATGAAATAGAAACATCAGAAATGGTATACTCTCGAATGAATCCATGATATCTGCTTCATTCATACCTGGAAAAACATCCTCTAAAGCTGTAATTTCTTCATCACAGTAATCTGCCATGAAGTACCTTGGCTTCCATTCAGGATTCCAATGCTTTAAAATATTTAAAGCCTCCTTGATTGAATTACGGTCCTCTGTTTCCAGGACAAACGAAGCAACAGTTATGTAATTAACATTTGTTGGAACACAGAGAAAGTACAGTGGCAAAGCATATTTAGTGGTCCTGTACGTTGCATCAAGCAAGGCAATCTCGTTGCCATACCTTGCTAGCAAATGTCTCTGCCAAGGTGTCTGATGTATGTACAGAAACTTTTCTCTGTTCCCACAATACAAAGTTGCCATTTCGTCGTTGAAGAATTCTTCACCATCAGCATCTGGAATGGCTAAAAAAATTTTTTTAAGAAATTATAAAAAAGCAATCTTTGATCTCACGTGTTGAGGTGTTTTTTAGTCAAAGAGTAAATAAAATGCTCCGCTAGGTGCAGCTTGATATGACTGCAGAGGTCGAACCCTGAACAGTTAGGGCAAGTATGGACACAACATTCAAGCTTGATACAGCTCTGAATTTGAATTGTGATAAAATATTTGACACAGTATAGGTTTCTGACACAGAATTAATGTGGTCTAAGAACTTAAAAAATTTTAAATTGGACATTCACCTATTATGGTCCAATATCCAAAATCTAAATACATGGTTAGATTCAGCATATCAAAGAACCCTAAGAATTCAATTTTTGATGAAATCAAATACAGTGTTCTAGAATTCCCATTTCCCGTCACCCGTGGCAAGTTGATTTAGGTCACGGGAAAGTGGAAATTCAAACCTTTGTTGTCCGTGGGCAAGTAAAATTAAATTACAGAAACTTCCAATTCATGCAGATCAAACGGTCGATGAAACAGTTGTATTCTTTAAATCTTTTATTTCAATCAAAGTCTCAAGGCAAGATTGTTTTTGTTGGTGTAAATCATGCAGGGGTTTTAAAGTCTAGGGGAGAGAAACATACGCACATGTTTCGCAATCACAGTCATAAAGACGCTTGCTAGCTAAGCAAGGGAAATCCGTGATTTCAAGCATCCATCTGATCTAGACGCAAAAAACTAATAACCGGAATGCAAACGGTAAAAGATTTAATATCCGGATCTCAAATTGTTGATTTTCTGCTTGAAATGTTATCACTTTTTTGTGCCAATACATTTGAATTACTGAAGTTACATTGTTTATGTCACAAATAGACATGTGTCAAACTTAAATTAATATATTTCAAAACAAAATTAATATATTCCATCAAATTTTTTGTATATCTAGATGAACATGACATTGAATTATCAACACAATCACAAGCTAGTTTGACAAACTAATTAATTTCAAAGGAAATAACAGAGTTCATAATTTCAAATTGAACTACATGTATAAACATGCAATAAAAGGAATAAGAAAATTATGAAAACATTTTTCAAATAGTATAAAAATAAGGGAAAGTTCATTAAACTTGTGGGAAAGTGAATTTTTGATACTAACTTTCCCGTGGAAAGTTGCAAATGTATGAAAATCCTAGAACACTGCAAATAAAGTTCAATTTTGGACCCTTTAGAACTCAATGTGGACCAATTTGATAAAGGGGCCCAAATATCAAAAATCAAAATACATGTTTAGATTCAGCATATCAAAGAACCCCAAGAATTTAATTTTGGACCCTTTGGACCTTAATGTAGACAAATTTGAAAACGGGACCAAAAATTAAGAATCTAAATACACGGTTAGATTCGGCATATCAAAGAACCCCAATAATTCAAGTTTTGATGAAATCAAACAAAGTTTAATTTTGGACCCTTTTGGCCCCTAATTCCTAAACTGTTGGGACCAAAACTCCCATAATCAATCCCAACCTTCCTTTTGTGGTCATAAACCTTTGTTAAAATTTCGTAATTTTCTATTTACTTATACTAAAGTTATTGTGCGAAAACCAAGAAAAATGCTTATTTGTGCCCCTTTTTGGCCCCTAATTCCTAAACTGTTGGGACCAAAAGCCCCAAAATCAATCCCAACCTTCCTTTTGTGGTTATAAACCTTGTGTTAAAATTTTATTGATTTCTATATACTCATACTAAAGTTATTATCCGGAAATAATCCGTCTTCGGACAACGATGTCGACGTGATACCAATATACGACCAAAATTTTTTTAATTTTTGCGATCGTATAAAAAGGACAATCATGCAGATGATGCATTCATTTGATTTTGATTTAAAGGACCCACAAACAGAAAAACAAATAACCGGCTAATAACATTTTCTATCATAAAATAAAAGTAGAGCAGGTGGAGAGAACAGGTTGAATTTTACTGATTCAATATGTACTGAACATGACAAAATGACCTCATAAAATTTGGTTTTTTAAAATATTAAGTGTTAATTGAGAATTTTTAACGATCAGAAAATGGCCATATATTATTTCGACATTGCTGTGTTAAATTTGCTTACAGATTTTTATAAGTTAACTTTAATTTTGTAATTTCTGAGCTATAAGGGGTCACACCTAAAAATTTCAACTTCATTTGGTCAGATTAATTTCACCATGAACAAGCCATGTTGTCTGTCCATTACCTTCTGGTGTTGTTGGTTCAAAAGACTCCTGTTCTTCCTTCTTTCTCAGGAAAAACTCATCAGCAGGGAACTGGCTCTTCCACTCAGCTACTTTCTGTTCTACTATTTTCTAAAAAATAAATATATAAAAATACTCCATAAGGCAAGACTTCTAAATGCTTGGTACATACTATTAAGTCTTCAGGGGATACTTCTTTTTTTTTGTGTATTTTGCATGAATTAAGGTATTATGCTATCAGATTATACTTTACATATTTTATTTAAAAATTGAATGCTTCTTTTTATAATTTTATTGGGGTGTAAAATTGTTGACCGAAGCACATTTTGAATGAATAAAATTGAGAATGGAAATGGGAAATATGTCAAAGGGACAACAACCCGACCAAAGAGCAGACAACAGCCACAGGCAAACAATGGGTCTTCAATGCAGCGAGAAACTCCCGCACCCGGAGGTGATCCTCAGCCGGCCCCTAAATAAAATTGTGTGCTAGTTCAGTGAAAATAGATGTCACACTAAACTCCAAAACATATAAATGAACTAAAATTAAAAAACATAAAAGACTAACAAAGGCAAGAGGCTCCTGACTTGGGACAGGAGCAAAAATGTGGTGGGGTTAAACATGTTTTGTGAGATCTCAACCCTCCCTCTATACCTCTAGTCAATGTAGAAAAAAGAAACACATAGCAATACGCACAGTAAAACTCAGTTTAAAAGAAGTCTGAGTCCGATGTCAGAATAGGTAACAAAAGAAAATAAGCAAAATGACAATGATACATAAATGAACAAAGGACTACTAGCAGTTACTGACATGCCAGCTCCAAACCTCAATTAAACTGATTGAAAGATTAGGTCTTCATCATAAGTTTGAAGTGCTTCATATCAAAACCGTGTGCACGATCAACTTTTATAGGAATATAAAACATGATATTGGGGGTGTCTTGAGATTGCTGTCAGACAATCAAAATTACAGATTATAATGACACATACTTATAATGTAATGATTTAGTTATTATAATTTGTAGTCTGTTTGTTTTTTCAGGTTTTTCATGTAGAACATTAACAATTGATTAATCATGTTAATATATTTTCTATTGGTACAACATATTTAATAAGAAGGTGACATAGACAAAAATACTTGTAGTTATAAATATAGAAAAAATAAAGCATTATTACTTTTCCAGAGTTGTTGTAATAAATTCAAAGTGTGTTTTCCATGGTATCAACAAAAATACTCATCTATTATTTATCATAATTAGTATGTATAAAAACCTGATCAACGTTGCTGTTTCTTATTTCCAGTAGTCCAAGAAGAATATTATTTCTGATGACTTTCAAGGTTGGCCAGAATCTACTATTTATGGGTGATGGTAGTTGTTGGTCTTTAAACAAATCATTTTTAATGTAAACATCAAGAAGCAATTTCATTTGAGTTGACGAAGTAATGTTGCTTTCAGCCACCATTTTCCTTATATATTTTTTTATCCTTTCATCAAGTGGTTGTATCAACATACCTATCTGTAAGAAAAAGAAGCATTTGGTTTTTTTTTTTTTTTTTTTTGCTAATGATTAACCAATTGCATTTTGAACAGATATATCATGTTATGGAGGGGTATTTGCGAAAAATACCAGTCAAGGGATAGTGAAATTTCCCAAGCCGGTAGACGAGGGAAATTTGGTCCCAAGACTGGTATTTTTCACAAATACCCCTCCATAACATGATATATCTGTTTAATTACACCGAAAAGATTTTGATTGAAACTGTCTGTACATGTGAAGGGAAATCGTAGTACAATGGGAATTATACATGTACTTTTATGCGTTAGTGCTGTCTTTTTGTAACGTCATGGTATCTATATGTGCAAACGTCATTGTTATTCCATCATTAAATCGTTCATTTGTATAGACATTTTTTCCCCCTCTTTATATGTATATTTCTTACAGTTTTCGGTTTAACTCAATCAATAGTGCCTAACCATGTTGTCGGGATAAAGTGAGAAAGGTTCCGAATAATTTTGGCGGGAACAGGCTCGTGAGTGTAAAAAAGGAATATCCAAAATGGCAAATACTACGGCAGAGAGGGGAATTTGAGGCAAATTCACTAGCAGTAGTGAAAAAACAGGCAAATTTGTTTGAAATGAGGAAAAAATGTTAGAATATGCGAAAAATACACTGGCTAACAGCCAATCAAAATCCTGCATTCTTATATAAGGAGTAATTAATATTTATATATTGACTAGTTGGGGTAACTGGGTGATTAGTTTGGATATTCTGGCATCTGGTAGTGTATCTGATTCATTGGTTTGGGTACCTGTCTGGGTGGCTGTTCTAGAGTATCATTGTGACTAGTTGGCACAACAGAGTAACTGGTTGGGGTATCTGGAAGACTAGTTTGGGTATCTAGGTGACTAGTTGGAACAACAGAGTGACTGGTTGGGGTATCTGTAAGACCACCAGTAGTTTGGGTATCTAGGTGACTAGTTGACACAACAGAGTGACTGGTTAAGGTATCAGGGTGACTAGTTGGCATAACAGAGTTGGTGTATCTGGAAGACTAGTTTTGGTATCAGGTTGACTGGTTAGCATATCAGGATGACTGTTTGGGATGTCAGGATGACTGGTTGGGATGTCAGGATGAGTGGTTGGGATATCAGGGTGACTCTGGTGTCAGGGTGACTTGTTGGGATGTCAGGATGAGTGGTTGGGATATGTCAGGATGACTAGTTGGGATGTCAGGATGACTGGTTGGGATGTCAGGGTGACTGGTTGGGATATCAGGGTGACTCGGGTGTCAGTGTGACTTGTTGGGATGTCAGGATGAGTGGTTGGGATATGTCAGGATGACTAGTTGGGATGTCAGGATGACTGGTTGGGATGTCAGGGTGACTGGTTGGAGTATCAGGATGAGTGGTTTGGATGTCAGGATGACTGGTTGGTATGTCAGAGTGACTGGTTGGGATGTCAGGGTGACTGAATGGGATGTCAGGGTGACTGGTTGGAGTATCAGGATGAGTGGTTGGGATATCAGAGTGACTCATTCAGGTGTCAGGGTGACTGGTTGGGATGTCAGGATGACTGGTTGGGATGTCAGGGTGATTGGTTGGGATGTCAGGGTGACTAGTTCAGATGTCAGTATGACAGGTAGGGGTGTCAGGATGACTGGTTAGGATGTCAAGGTGACTGGTTGGGATGTCAGGATGACTGGTTGGGACGTCAGGATGACTGGTTGGGATGTCAGAGTGACTGGTTCAGATGTCAGGATAACTTGTTGGGACGTCAGGATGACTGGTTGGGATGTCAGAGTGACTGGTTGGGATGTCAGGATGACTGGTTGGGATGTCAGGATGAGTGGTTGGGTTATCAGGGTGACTGGTTGGGATGTCAGGATAACTTGTTGGGACGTCAGGATGACTGGTTGGGTTATCAGGGTGACTGGTTGGGATGTCAGGGTGACTGGTTGGGATGTCAGGGTGACTGGTTGGGATGTCAGGATGACTGGTTGGGATGTCAGGGTGACTGGTTGGGATGTCAGGATGACTGGTTGGGATGTCAGGGTGACTGGTTGGGATGTCAGGGTGACTGGTTGGGATGTCAAGGTGACTGGTTGGGATGTCAGGGTGACTGGTTGGGATGTCAGGATGACTGGTTGAGATGTCAGGGTGACTGGTTGGGGTATCTGGATGACTAGTTTGGATGTCAGGATGACTGGTAGGGATGTCAGGATGACTGGTTGGGATGTCAGGGTGACTGGTTGGCATGTCAGGGTGACTGGTTGGGATGTCAGGGTGACTGGTTGGGATGTCAGGATGAGTGGTTGGGATATCAGGGTTACTGGTTGGGATGTCAGGATGACTAGTTGGGATGTCAGGATGACTGGTTGGGATGTCAGGGTTGGGATATCAAGGTGACTGGTTGGCATATAAGGGTGACTGGTTGTGGTATTAGGATGACTAGATGGATATTAGGGTGACTGGTTTGGGTATTTGGGTGACTAGTTGGATATCCAGGTTACTTGTTTGAAAATTTTTGTGACTGGATGTGGTATATTGGAGACTGGTTAGGGTATCTGAAGTTGGGATATTTTTGTGATCCTGATGACTGGTTTGGGTAACTTGGTGAGTAGTTAGGATATATTGGTGATCTTAATGACTGGTTAGGGTATCTGGATAGATAATTGGATATTTTGTTGACTGGTGTGGTTATCTGGATGTCATTATTTCTCTGTGAATAGTTGGGATATTTCAGTGAATGGAGGGGGGGAGCCGGAGGGGTTATATACATATAAGAGACTATTAATAGGCAAATAAGCTAATATTCATATAGTAAATATTCCTACGAAACAAATGAACTTCAAATATGACAAACAGTGTTAGTGAATGCATATATCTAAAATAAATCTAAATCAAATGAAGTTTGCATGACCCAGACCTGACAGCATTATTTTACCTCTCCTGTAAAATGGTTCTGGTGGGTATCTGGAACAGAGATAAGGTAAACATGTTGCACAGCTACATCATCCTCTTTGTCTATTGCATTGTGGATTTTAGCTGACAGTCTTTCCCTTCCATATCGTGTGTTATCTTCTAGCTGCAAAAGTATGATAAATATTTAATATATCAAACATATTTTTAAATCTATGTTCTAGCTTCTATCAGTGACAAATGAAAAGAAAATGCATTTCTATTTCGTTCAGCTTGACTTAAGGTATAACTTAATATGAAGTATGCTTGATAATTTGGAATTTATGAATTTCAAGTATATAGTATGACAGGAGGATGGATGTCCAATTTGATACATCCTATTTAGAATACATTCTCCAAATTTTCATACATTGTTCCTCATTAGTTAATTATGTCAGATATCACATTAAAAATGATTTTATTGATAGCCATTATTAATTCTCAGATATATCCAGGTTTTAAATGTAATTGTACTGTGAATATAGACCATTCCTTTCACTTTTATTTGGGGCTTTCTTGAGCTGAGGATGAGGATTACATGTTATTAATAACCTCTTGTCCCTTTTTTAATCAATAATACTTTTGGATACTATAATGTGATGTCTCAATTAGGTATACTCCATATCAATCTATCTGATTTGCTTACTCTTTTTTTCTTTTGTATTGCAAGTTTTTACGTACAGTGTTGTATTCAAACCAATTTTATTGAATATGATGTGAGCATCTGTTCTACATTAAAAGCCCTATATCAGATTGTATTAACAGTTATTAACTAATGAGTTCACCTTGAAGTCTGTAAACTTCATTACATGTCTGATTCTAATCATTGCTGGACAATTTTTATACGACCGCAAAAATTAAAAATTTTTTGGTCGTATATTGGTATGACGTTGGCGTCGTCGTCGTCGTCGTCGTCGTTGTCGTCGTCGTCGTCGTCGTCGTCCGGCGTCGTCCGGCGTCGTCCGAAGACACATTGGTTTTCGCACTCTAACTTTAGTTTAAGTGAATGGATCTCCATGAAATTTCACCATAAGGTTCAATACCACGAAAGGAAGGTTGGGATTGATTTTGGGGGTTATGGTACCAACAGTTAAGGAATTAGGGGCCAAAAAGGGGCCAAAAATAAGCATTTTTGTAACTTTCAGACAATAACTTGTGTGTAAGTGTATGGATCTCTCTGACATTGTACCACAAGGTTCCATATCACAAAGGGAAGGCTGTAATTGATTTTGGGGGTAATTGCCTCAAAATTTTAGGAATTAGGGGCCAAAAAAGGGGCAAAAAACAAGCATTTTTCTAGTTTCATGGCAATAACTTGTGTGTAAGTGTTTGGATATTTCTGAAATTGTACTACAAGGTTCCATATCACAAAGGGAAAGCTGGAATTGAGTTTGGGGGTAATTGCCCGAAACGTTTAGGAATTGGGGGCCAAAAAGGGGCCAAAAATAAGCATTTTTCTAGTTTCCAGACAATAACTTGTGTTCAAGTGTATGGATCTCTCTGAAATTGTACTGCAAGGTACCATACCACAAAGGGAAGGCTGGGATTGAGTTTGGGGGTGATGAATCATAAGGGGGTTCAAAAAATTTGGGGGGGGGGGGGGGGGGTTTTCTTTTTTTCCTTTTTTTTTTCTTTTAAAATTTTCCATTTTAAGTTGGTTATTTCTGATTTATATTTAAAAGCAAATAATAATGATATGGTAGGAGATACACACCAAACAGGATGTGTAAATTATTATATAATAAGTATTGTGCAATAGCAAGAAATTTTCAATTGCACAGTATTGCACAATAGCAAGAAATCTTCAATTGCGCAGTATTGCGCAATAGCAAGAAATCTTCAATTGCACAGTATTGCGCAATAGCAAGAAATATCCAATAGCACAATATTGCGCAATAGCAAGAAATTGTCAATTGTACAGTATTGCGCAATAGCAAGAAATATTCAATTGCACAGTATTGTGCAAAAGAAGATACTTCGTATAAATTGCTTATTTCTTGATCAATTTCAATGGGGTTTTATTCTTGAATTCTTGGGGTTCTTTAATATGCTGAATCTAACCGTGTATTAAGTTTTTGGATTTTGGGCCCCGTTTTTAAATTGGTCCACATTGAGGTCCAAAGGGTCCAAAATTTAACTTTGTTTGATTTCATCAAAAATTGAATTATTGGGGTTCTTTGATATGCCGAATCTAACCGTGTATTTAGATTTTTAATTTTGGGTCCCGTTTTTTAAATTGGTCTACATTAAGGTCCAAAGGGTCCAAAATTAAACTTAGTTTGATTTTAACAAAAAATGAATTCTTGGGGTTCTTTGATATGCTGAATCTAAACATGTGTTTAGATTTTTGATTATGGGCCCAGTTTTCAAGTTGGTCCAAGTTGGGGTCCAAAATTAAACTTTGTTTGATTTCAACAAAAATTGAATATATGGGGTTCTTTGATATGCTGAATCTAAACATGTATTTAGATTTTAGATTTTTGGCCCAGTTTTCAAGTTGGTCCAAATTGGGTTCCAAAATTAAATTTTGTTTGATTTCAACAAAAATTGAATATATGGGGTTCTTTGATATGCTGAATCTTACCATGTATTTAGATTTTTTATTTGTGGGCCCGCTATCAAATTGGTTCATATTGAGGTCAAAAGGGTCCAAAATTAAACTTTGTTTGATTTCATCAAAAATTTAATTATTGGGGTTCTTTGATATGCCAAATCTAACTGTGTATTTAGATTTTTAATTTTGTGTCCTGTTTTTTAAATTGGTCTACATTAAGGTCCAAAGGGTCCAAAATTAAACTTAGTTTGATTTTAACAAAAATTGAATTTTTGGGGTTCTTTGATATGCTGAATCTAAACATGTGTTTAGATTTTTGATTATGGGACCAGTTTTCAAGTTGGTCCAAGTTGGGGTCCAAAATTAAACTTTGTTTGATTTCAACAAAAATTGAATATATGGGGTTCTTTGATATGCTGAATCTAAACATGTATTTAGATTTTAGATTTTTGGCCCAGTTTTCAAGTTGGTCCAAATTGGGGTCCAAAATTAAACTTTGTTTGATTTCAACAAAAATTGAATATAAGGGGTTCTTTGATATGCTGAATCTTACCATGTATTTAGATTTTTTATTTGTGGGCCCGCTATCAAATTGGTTTATATTGAGGTCAAAAGGGTCCAAAATTAAACTTTGTTTGATTTCATCAAAAATTGAATAATTGGGGTTCTTTGATATGCCAAATCTAACCGTGTTTTTAGATTTTTAATTTTGGGTCCCGTTTTTTAAATTTGTCTACATTAAGGTCCAAAGGGTCCAAAATTAAACTTAGTTTGATTTTAACAAAAATTGAATTCTTCGGGTACTTTGATATGCTGAATCTAGACATGTGTTTAGATTTTTGATTATGGGACCAGTTTTCAAGTTTGTCCAAGTTGGGGTCCAAAATTAAACTTTGTTTGATTTCAACAAAAATTGAATATATGGGGTTCTTTGATATGCTGAATCTAACCATGTATTTTGATTTTGGACATTGGACCATAATAGGTAAATTAAAAAAATTGAAGTTCTTAGACCACATTCTTTCTGTGTCAGAAACCTATGCTGTGTCAAATATTTAATCACAATCCAAATTCAGAGCTGTATCAAGCTTGAATGTTGTGTCCATACTTGCCCCAACTGTTCAGGGTTCGACCTCTGCGGTCGTATCAAGCTGCGCCCAGCGAAGCATTTTATTCTTTTTGGTTGTCTGCAAATGATTTCTTTTCTTTCTGTAATCATGATCAGTCTACAAAGAGATTTCATTTAAATTTGTAGCTCACAAAATTGATTCTTTACAAGTTTACCATTTGCATAAAATAAGCACAATTCTTCAAGACGTAACTGGTTTGACAATAAAGGCAACAATTGAATATAAACTTGTAATAGCATTAGAATAATAACATGTTTGGGTTTAAATTTTTAATAAACTACATACCCGCATACAATTGCTGGAATTAAGTTTAAAAAGCAAATTCAAAAACAACACAGAGCTTTGCTTAATGACTTCCTTAATGACCTTAAGATTATTCTTCTTCAGAGACATTTTTGTATGGTGTACTAACTTTGTGTAGTTTTTGTTTAATCCCATGAAACTGTTAAGGAGGTGGTGTATATTATAATACATGTGCATAACAAAACCATTTGTAAAACAAACAAAACAGTTATCATGATTGTTCAATTATCTCCTATCAAAATTATTATTTTCTTCAACATCTTTCTGCACTGTACTACCCAGGGCTTCCAAAATTTCCTGACGACAGCCGGACATTTTTCAAAGAAATATTTTTGACGGTCAATGATCAGCTGGATACTTAAATGTAACTGAGCTAGAGGATGCATAAATTGATATATGTGTCTAAATAATTAGTAGTGTTATATGCAATAAAATTATTTATAACTGTTTTGTTTTCTTCATTCTAAAAATAAATAAAATTTTATCCTCGGTATTGTGTCATTTTTCTGTGTATCGTAATACAGTAACCATCATTGGATCAATCAGCTTCAGTACCTGACTGTTCTCATGTTTTTGTTTCTGTTTATATAATCTATCTTCTCTCTGTGAGTACTTAACACTTTGTAAATGAAGGCCATCTTATTTGAAACTGTTGATGTTGGCTTTAATTGCAGTACAACTTGATCATCAATACACTGATACTTTTCTTTTTGTGTATTGATTACCTGACCACATGACTTTTACAACTGATGCGGTATTTATAGATAACATTGAGGAGGCCCAATGAAGGATATTGTTTTACACCGTGTAAAATCTACTGCATGAACAGTGATAACATTTTTCTTTGTACAATTTCCAAACCTGATTTAGAAAATAAGTAAAAATGTCACAAAACATGACATTTAGCATGACCGTTTTGGAAGCCCTGGTACTACCTACTTTTTGTAAAGTTTCACTGAAATATATGTATGTAGGAGAACTTAAGAACAACATGGGCAAATTATCTCCCCTTCAAGTTGATGAGGTCAGACGATAATAATTTTACTTAATCCTTATCAGTTAATATTCAATACCAATCAAAACATAAAGTATAGTAAGATTGTATAGTTTGATCACACTGACACAGACTTACTTAAAAGCTGTATGTACAAGATTGATGGACAGAGACTGAGGGACAGGGTTGTTTCTATAAAAATGTATCCCCTGAATTTTTTATTGTATGGGCCATTGGGGATGTTACTAATCATGAAATGAGCTGAGCATTTCATTTTATAAACTTATATGTTTAAGATTTGTGAACAAATAAATAAATAACATTTCTGGTCATCAGTAAATGTAATGTTAACAACTCCTTGACAAGTTCAAGAACCAACCTGGAATAGCCAAGAAATACCATGTACAGCTCATCTCTTTGTTTCTGAGCAACTGTGCTCTTTCCTTTTTTTTCTTTGACCTGTCCTTGCCTTGATGACATTCCTATGTTTTCTTCCCTGTGATTATAAATGGGACACCACATAAGGGATAGGTGGAACAGCATCTTTCTGTGTGTCATCATATCGTATGGTAAATGTGTTCTTTGATAGATCTAAATAAACAAATATTTATATATTAACTACTTACAGTCAGGGGTACTACTTGCACAAGTTATTTTTATTTACTTGAAGAAGTAAATATAAATATACTTATATAAGTAAATTTGTAAGATACTTATTCAAGTGTATTTTATTTACTTGTATAGGTAAATTATTTTAATGGCTTAGTTATGTCCCTTAGACATTCAGATTTTTTTTACTTGTTCAAGTAAAAAAGTCATACTACATGTATCTTCTTTTCTTTAATTTCTCAGAAC